AGCCTGAAGGTCTTCATCAGTTCGGAGTTGCTGAGGGTCATGTAGAAAAAATTTGAGATCGGCAAGATCATCATGTCGGAGGGAAAGGCAGGCATCTCGTTCAGTGGTTGAATTAAAATGAATGACTAATCTTTTGAGGTCACCAGAACCGGACATGCGAGCACGGCCAGTATAAGAGTGATAAGTTTTCAAAAGGAGATTATTGACAGCATCAATCATAGCCCGATTATTAGGATATTTTTTGACAAAATCAGGGGAGGTGTTAGGTGCCACAGTAGCCTGAAAATCACGCCTAAAAATGGAAATAGTGGGCGTGTCAAGGGGAAGAGGAGAAGTATCATTGGTATCCATAATGTCCTTATTAGGAGACGCGTCTAAGGGGGAAGTTTCTTTGTCTTTTGGAGCATGCATGGACGCGTCGGTACCAGATGTGACAGAACCAGGCGCAGAAGGCGCAGTAGTATCTTTGGGAGGAGGAGACGAAAAATTGTCAGCATTATTTTGTTGAGGAGGAGTAGTGTTGCTACCTCCAGCGTCAGCCGCTGAGTCAGCGACGTAGTCTTCTTCCATAGGATTTTCTGGGAGCGTACAGGTACGTTTGGAAGGGTTGTTTTTATTGTTTGTTTATTCATTATCAGAGTTTGAAACGTCAGAGCCAGAGTCTTTATTTTTGTTTCGTTTGTCTTGACGCTTGGCAGGTCCCCCGTTAGGGTTATTGCCAGCTTTTTTGCTACCTTTGGGAGGCATTTTAATAGTAAAATAGAGATGTGTTAATATGAAGAATAAAAATTTCTTCCGCGAAATTTTTGACCAAGGATCTACAAGAAAGAGTTGGCAGATCGGGATCTAAGTCACACTTTTGGCAGATTGGCCCATTTTTCAGGGGTTCAAAAAATCGTTTTTTGTAAATATTTTAGCATCCAGTGTGCCAATTTTGATGAACTATTTTTTAAATTGTAGAGCTAAATGAGGGCTACAAAATAAAAAAATGTTCATTAAAATTGAATCACTGGATGCTAAGATATTTACAAAAAACGATTTTTTAAGTTTCAGTAAAAAAGGGTGTTTTTGGCCAAAAGTCCATTATGACCTTTATATTAGATATCCGGGGTCCTGTTTCAAATACCCAGATTTGATCTAATCTCATGCTAACTCCTTTTTTGTGATAAGTGTTCTTTAATATTTTTTTATTAAGCTTCCTATATGAGTCTATAAGTCCCAGTGTTTCAAGATCATTAAAAAATTTGGGTTTGGAGATATGTTGTGGAGGAGTGCGATCGATTTGGCCATTTGAGATTAAATTAAAGTCTCCCATTAATATATGTATTATATTGTTTGACTTTTTTCGCGTAGTTTCATCACCCATTTCTTTTTGAGTTTCTCCAAAGCATCATAAAGAATTGTCTTATCTTGTATTGCCGCGTAAATAGTCCAGATACTAAACATTATATTTCTAAATAAAAAGTATACTGAGAGTAAATATGGTGAATGAGTTTTGTGTCCTTGATAATGTTTATTCTATTTCCGTGAATATATTAACACCATTCCCAATTCCTTATATTTGTCATACTGTCTACTTGACCAATATATATGGAATTGGTCTTTAAAACTGTCAGATATTTTGAAAAAACCATTTTTTCGGTCTAGGTTAGTTTCGTTTAAGGCCATAATAATGTTCACCTGATTTTTGTGCATTCAGTTCAGTATTCCATAAAGCTTTGTGTTGCTCCCTGCTAATCCGTTGATGTTGTGAGTTCCAATGTAAAGCGTGAGGTATAATGCGTCTAGATCCATTTGTTATTTTTCCTCGTACTGTATTCGTTGACTGTGTAAGAAGTTTTCTATATTAACTAGATTAGTGTTATTATTATTGTTATTGTTTTGTACGTTCAACATAAATGTAGAATTGTATAGGTTTCTATATAAATATGTCCATTATAGTATTATTTGGTCCAGCCAAATTTCTTTGAATTTTATTTTAAATTTAATTGGTATTACAAAATGATTTGATTAACTTTAATTAGCTCTATATATTATAAGGTCTAGCTTGGATAAAGCTTTAAATATGGAATTTAACTTTAAAGAATTTAAAGGTAAATAAAAAGTTACTTTTCGCTTATTTTAAACCAAGATCTTAATTAGAAGTAAAATCAAAATAAGAATTCTAATATATCACAAAAGAAAAAATCTGGTATATAGTTTAAAAAGAAGAAATCTTATAGAACTAATTCGTGCAAGAAAGACTTTGATGGTGGCAAATTGGCAATAAACTTACTATTCTAACTGAAATTCATTCGCTACTACATTTTCTAGTAAACTGATATGATAATATTGGAGTCTTGAAGGAGAGATGGGTAGTGGGATGGTATTGCTCATGTTAGTTTATTATTTTTTTACTCTTATATAATTTTTTTTTACTCTGATTGTTATTTGTTACTCTTTATTTTCTTTTTTTAGCTTCAAATTTTGTGTTGCAGTTACAATAAGTTTTTTGAAGTACTTACAAAACATAGACTAGAAGGAAGGATTACTTCTAAAAAAGAATTCTTTAAAGAAGAACTTACTTTTCTAGTTCAGAGTTCCAACTGATAGTACACATATAATTGTTTGACCAAATAAATTTGATATTTAATAAATTAGATTAGTTTTTATTGTTCTCATCTATATATATAATGAATTGTAATTTTTCGCTATTCTAATAAAATATCCAAATATGCTACAGCCAAAAAAAGAAAAATAATAATAATTAACAATTTCAGGTTAAACTCCAATAAAAAGTATACTTATTTATTAACATAGTAAAAAAAAGTAGATGATAAACTTTACTAGGACCCCGGATATCTCCAAAACAGGTCATAAGTCACACTTTCGGCAGATTGGCCCATTTTTCAGGGGCTCAAAAAATCGTTTTTTGTAAATATCTCGGCATCCAGTGGTCCAATTTTGATGAACTTTTTTTTAAATTGTAGAGCTAAATGAGGGCTACAAAATAAAAAAATGTTCATTAAAATTGAATTACTGGATGCTGAGATATTTACAAAAAACGATTTTTTGAGTTTCAGCAAAAAGGGGTGTTTTTGGCCAAAAGTCCATTATGACCTTTATATTAGATATCCGGGGTCCTACTTTACTTAAATAAAACAAAATCTAACACATATAATATTTTTTTAAATTATATTATAATTATTTTGTAAAAGAGATTTTTATAATTGCTACTCACAGTTATTTTCTTTTCTTAATTATAAAAGAAGCCAAAAAAAGGAAAGAAAGGATATAGTTTTAAAAAAAAATTTTTCTGTTTATTTTTCAAATGATATGAAAATAATATGTAATACACAATAACAATACATATTATAATTAATAAGTGAGAAAACTTAACCTAGATCAGGGAGTTTAGGTTTCTTATCTTAAACCTGGGGGTCCAGATCTCTTATTTTAGACCTTGTGGCACAGCTGATCATTATACATTATTTTCATAATAGTGTATATTAGAATAATAAAAAAATCTTTTTTATTAAAAATTTCAAATCTAATAAATACAAAGTGTTCTTTCTCTAATAATTACGCTTTAACACTTGCAATAGGTAAGTTTGTTCTGGTTTCTTTGAGTTTTAGATTAAATTATTATGTATTGTTTGAAACTTCTTTCAACTAAAATTTGTGATTTTACTAACATATACGTGCTTTTTGTATAATTTTTAGCATTCTAATTAAATTAATTAGCTATGTTGAAAAATAAAATTGTTTGAATACTCATATTTACAAAATTTCAATGGAAATTTATGAAGTATTTTCACGTATTTTTTTTAATACAAGGTTATTTTGTAAGGAGAGAATAAATAATAATATAATAGATAATTCTTTACCCAGTTGTTAAATATTTGATAAACATTTCTAATATTTGGTTTAGTTTAATTTTTTGTTCCAAGAAAAATGCTTATACTTCGTATTTTATTGTGAAATATTGCTTTAATAAAAAAAATTAAAAATCTTGAAAATTTTCTAAAAATGTTACACATGTATTAATGTATATATCTGATATTATAAATGAAAATTTCTAAGATAAAATGTTACATGCCTGGATAAGGATGCTCTTATATTTATCTCAGCAACTTAGTTTTTTTTTTTGAGTGGTCTGATGCTTATTCGTCACCCCTGTGAGTGTATCTAGGGGACAGAGAATTTTTTTTTAGTAACAACATCCTACTTGTCACGCACTATCTGCCACATGTGTGCCACAATTAATTTCAGTCAAGTTGCGTAATACCGGCCATTTCTACAACCCTAGCCATGGCGAAAAAAAAGTTACTGACACGTACTGCATTTTATTCATCACAACTGCCACACCACCGCGTTTCCACTTTTTATATTTATCTGAGGGACTTAGTTTTTTTCAAGTAGGTAAAAACTTATTCGTCACCCCTTATTCGTCACCGGTTATTTCACGTGTTAGTGCATAACGCCGTAATGTGGGATTTACCCCAGCATCGCCCAAGATTTCTAAGTAAAATTCCACCCCACGTGACCGGTGATGTTTAAGGGGGAGTGAAAAATATTTTTTTCACCACTAAAAATTTTCTAAGTCCCCAGAATACTCATGAAAAAATGAAAACGGTGAGGTGTGACGCGGGGTGACATTTTATGCAGGTCACGTGGGGGTGAAAAATCTTGGGGCGACGCTGGGGAAGATGTAATGTGGGCCAAAAGTCACGTGTCAGTCACTTTTTTTTCGCCATGGCTAGGGTACTAGGCCATTTCGTGACATTTTTTCAGTCGCCCGTCATTGATTGTGCCACCCAAGTTTATAATTTTGGAAATAGATTTAAATCATTTAATCCAACAAAATTCCTTAGCCTATGAAAACTCTTGTTCCTAACGACAAGGACAAGAATTTATTTATATGCATGTGTCAATGTTGAAAGAGACAAACTCCTAAGAAAAAAAAGGAAAGGTATTTTTTTTTTTTGGTTCTAACAAATTTATAAGATGATTGTGAGCAATTCTTTTTTTTTTTTAATATATATACCGTATTTAAAATATAAATTTACAAAAAAAAAGTCTGATTCTATGATTTTATCTATAATTTCTGAAAAAAAAAGAAAATTTTAAAAATTAAAAATCGTAATCGTCATCTTCAGGTCTATTTCTTTTCCAATCATTATTTGTAGTAGTAGTAACTTGCGGTTCGGGAGATTCATGCATATCATAATCTGAGTCTGCATTTGGCAATGTTGAAGTCGTTGCTGCAACAGATTCTTCTCTAGTGTTACTATTATATGGAAGAACTTCCATCATGTCATCATCGTTATCTTCCGGTAAAATTTGTGATATTTCTATATTTGATGGTGATTCTTCTTTTTGTAAATGACCAGGTGGTGGCTTAAATTTAAAAAAAAATAAATTTAGTATAAGTAAAGTAAAAGAAAATTACGCGAATGATAATAAGACAATAAAACAGTTAAAGTGATTATAAAATAAATAAAAAAAGGTAAAATAAATGAAACGAAAATTTAATAAGAGTTCACCTCAGGTATAAGTTGAAAGTTAACGGCTGTTAAACAATGACGATCTGGTGGTAATCTCAGTCCGTATTTTTCTGGTACAGGTGGTAATGGTTCTCTATTACGTTCTTTAGCAAGTTGCGCCAAAAACTATATGTCCAAAAGAAATACATTAATTATTCGAAATCATTATAAAAATTTTATAAAACTATAAGAAATATATATATATATCCAAACCTCACCTCCTGTCGTGGTGGTGAAGTGAATGAATGAGTAATACGACCTTGAATCGCAAGTTTGACATCATCGATATCAATATCATTTTTTGCTGCATGTTCAGCATACGCCGAAGCATCTTGAATAACATCAACTGTGTATCCTATAATATGAACAAAGTAAGATAATATAATAAACATTACGAAATAACAAGAAAAAACGAATATATAAAATTGTACGTTTGTTACCACGATACTTACGATGAGCAAATTCTAAAAGTTGTTGGACCACTTTTGGTTCATATTCTTCAACTCCTGCAGCTTGCAGTATAAGCTGCATAACTCTAGAATCTCTCGGTACTTGATCCTTTGATTGTGCTTGTGGCACATTTGGAGGTTGTGCCATATTATTTACAAAATTTTCAACTTTTTTAACAAGAGACTCTTCAGAGTTTCATTGTTTGCTGACAATCAGAGTGGCGCAGCATTAGAAAATTGTAATTGGCTAGATTGATCAGTGTAATGCAAAACATCTTAGCGTTAGTAAGTCATGTGATATAAACACGAACGCTGGCGATTTTTGTTATAAAGCATAAAAAGTGCAACTCTGAGTCATAAAAGTCCACTTTGTTTATTAATTCCTTAGTTCAATGCTTGTTCTGTTTTTTATTTTACGCGTTTTTTAATCAATACTTATATCACTTTGGTAGTTTTCTCCATCTAAAAAAACACTAACACCTCAACCATGCAAGGACAACCTCCCGTCCATAATCTACAACAGCAACATTTCCATTATCAACAAAAACATCAACAACAAAAACAACAACATCAACAACAACAAAAACATCAACAACAGCTCCAACAACAAAAACAGTTCCAACAGAAACAGTTCCAACAAAAACAGTTTCAGCAAAAACAGTTCCAACAAAAACAAATTCAGCAAAAACAGTTGGTTCAACAGCAACAGCCACAACAGCCCCAGCTTCAGCTCCAACTCCAGCTCCAGCAACCGCAGCCTCCCCAACAACCGCAACTCCAACAACAGCAACAACAGCAGCAGCCAGAGCCAAAGAGACTCACTCAAGAGGAACGTCGTAAAATTGAAGAAAGATTAAAATACGCAACATATGAAGAACGTAGAGAATATTATATAAGAGAATACGCTGATTTCATATATTATTCTCCAAGATATTACGATGATATTTCTGAATATAGACACGTTACTCTACCAAAAGAAATTGCTCAATTCTTACCTCCCAATAAATTATTATCAGAGGATGAATGGAGAAGTTATGGCGTAATTCAATCTCAAGGTTGGGAACATTATTTAATTCACTCTCCTGAACCTCACATCTTACTCTTTAAACGTGAAAAGGATTATCAATTAAAATATCCCGTTCCAAATCAAAATCAAAATCCAAATGAAAATCCAAATGAAAATCCGCAATAAATCACGACTCTTGAATAGTTAGATAAATATAGGGTTCGTATTTTATAATGTGAGATGGGAAATGAGATTAAAAAATTTTCGTTTTTTTATAATTTTAGTTGATTTTCTTTATAAATAAAGAATGTGAAATATTTTAAATTTTGCGTTAGTCAAATAATCAAATCAAAATAATCTTAATTAACAATACGTAAACCTTATTGATACATTTTCAAAATTTTCAAAGGAATTATTTGCAAGATATAGTTCTTAGATGTTAGACAATCCGGTAAACAGTGCGTGATTCAAAAAATTTAACAAGGGTTAATCAAAAAGAGAATTGTATTTATCTACAATTTATATGGATTTTTACGTGCAATATGAGTTCAATTTCATGCTATAAATGACATACAATGCATTAAGCTCGTGGACAGTATACGTATAACAAATAAAAAGAATATCATAATTTAGTTATATCACCTTGTGCCAATTTACTATTAAATATTAATTATGCGCATTTTAACTATTTTAACTGGAATAAAGTACAAAAATGAGAATCAAATAATCTACGTTGTTTATTACCAATTTAGTCCAATATTCCGTAGTGCGACAATTAGATCGTTAAGTCAAACTATTATAATATTTAAGAGCCAATCTTTTTAATCGTATTTAATTTGGCATATATTTCTTATTCAATAATTTTTTTGAACATTTGACAGCAATTTCTAGTTCATATTTTCAGAAATTTTACACAACAAAGAAAGAACTTGGAAAAACTCACTACCTCCATCAACTAATCGTTTATCTACTATGCCTATACTTTCTCCTATATTACACTTATGATTTTCACTAAATCGTAAATCTTGAAGAACCTGAAAGAAAACCTGATAAAATTTTACATTAATAAAATAATTACATTGTCGAAAAAAGTATGCATGTTATGAATTTGACTTTACCTGTTCTATTATTTGCTTTCCAAAATATCCAGATGCAATGACATTACTTACGGTTTCTTGAATTTTATCATAAGATTTGCTCGCAGCACTTTCAATTAAGTCATTAATTATGTCGTCCGGTACAATCTGTTTATTTGAGAATTAAAAAATCCTAGCCTTGAGTCTCTAATAAGTCATAGTATAAAACAAGATTTTTATAGCACTTTTATAGCATTATAATATAAATTTAACGTCAATTTATTACCCCGACAGTTTCTTTAATTGTATCGACTGTGACTCGATCATTCTTGTGAAGTTTAGATGCATTATTGAGCCAAGTAATCGCCTTTCTTAGATCTCCTTGAGAGTCTTTAATCAATTCATCTAGCGCCTAAATAAGTTGAATAAATTTATTGCATATTTTTATAATTTATTACACGTAATCTTCTAAGTTTTACATATAAAATTACACGTAAAAAATTACAACCTCTGAATAATAGTTGATTCCTTCTTGTTCACATATATAACTAAGGCGATTTCTCATATTTTCAGTGCCTATGCTCTTGAATCGAAATAATGTACAACGAGATTTCAACGCAGGAATAATACTAAAACAATATGTTTCGTTATGTTAAACGAGTTGATAAGATAAAAAAGTCGCAATGTTTTCTATAAACCTACCACGATACTTGATTGCAAATAAGACAAAACCGAGTGAGTTCAGAGTATTTTTCTATTATGCGTCTCAATGCCTCTTGAGCGTCTTTCGTTAAAGAATCGGCTTCGTCCAGAATTATAATCTTAAAACCTGGACATTTATTCCTGTATATCAAAATAAAATATGTTAAGACATAGCAAAATCTTCGAAATGTGAAATTTTAAATTAAAAGATCGTATGCAAATCACCTATCACTATCGCCAACAATACATGACCGTGCATAGTTTTTTACTCTCTCCCTGATCACACTAATTCCACGCTCATGCGAAGCATTTAATTCCAAGACACGAGATTTCATCAGTTCTGAACTATCAATTAAATATTTGTTTACCTTAAAATACAATGTTTTAGCTATTTAACATAAATTCTATACCCGAATAATTCACGTGCAAGTGCCAAGATTGTAGAAGTTTTCCCAGTACCCGGAGGGCCATAAAATAACATATGAGGTAACTTTTAAAAGGGAATACATAAGTTTTTTTTTATTGAAACGTCTGAAATTAATATTAACAACTTACACTATCTTTAAAATGATTCAAGGTAATTAAAGTTTCTTCTTGAGCACTTATATTGTTTAAGGACTTTGGACGGCTAAAATAAAAAATTTTCTTATAAGATATATTGAGAAAGTTACGGTATACTTATAAAAACTCATTTACAACGTTTAAAAAAAAAATAAATAAAATAAAACTTCATTACTATTTTTCTATCCATGGTAAGCACGAAGTAGAATCTTTTGTCGATCTAGAGCGAGTGTCTTGATTCCGAAAAAACGAACCCATTGCAAGTTGCTTTATTTTACGCGTTTACGAATTTTTATATACCTTCACGGTTTGTTCGATCGACAAAAATTCTCTGAAATCTGTGACAGGTTATGCCGATCACGGTGACAGATAACGGGTGACAAATAAATTTTTGGCACGAAAAAAATTCTAAGTCCCTCAGATACTGAACTCGTGGTTGCACGTGATCAGTGACGCGTAAACATCACTCCTTCCTATCTCCTTCCTAGTATAGTATTGATCGACAATAACTGTCACAGATGCAAAAGTATCGGACTTGACCTTTGATCACATATATTTTACAATACTCCATATATAGGATTGATAACGTGCATGCAGGAGGGTCAAGTTAGCACCACGTCATGGGTCAAGTCTAATACTTTAGCGTCACAGATGCAAAAGTATCGGACTTGACCCTCCTCGTGGTACTTTCTTAACCTGATCAAATATGCAGATTTATGTATAACAATAAATGTATTTTTCTTGACCTGATCAAATATGCAAGTTAATGCGTAATGAATTAATGATAAATAGATTTTTCTTGACTTGGTAATGTGATAAATGATACTGTGATTATTGTGATAATTTTTGTGAAAAAGTGATGTTGAATCACGTGATGTAATTAATATAACGCGTGAAATTATGGCTTAGCTTTAATTTCGATCTTTTTTTCTTGGTCTTTTTTTTTCTGTTTTTTTTTACAATTTTTGCAAATATAAACGAAAGTTTGATACAATACAATGATGATGGAACAGTCAATATACCATTTAGTCAGATTGCTGAATGGTATATTTCTAAACATCCTTTATTAAAAAGTACCAGACTGAAGTGCCAGAGTAGGAAGAAGACTCTGGATTTAATTAAACAAAATATTATAACTGTTAGTCGTATTGAAGGTGCTATAGACTTTATTGAATGGAAGACTAATAAGGGAGAAACTATGTTCACTAATAGAATTGATGATACTATATGTTTAACACCTATAGGAGAAGAATATATTAGGGAAATAGAATCTGGTAATAAGAAAGATAAATTATGTTAGTTCTGGGTGATGTACTGTGCTGGAGAAGGAAATAAATGCCAAAGGGAATGTGGTAGTATTGGTAATTGTAAAGAGAATTGTCCAAATCATAATTTTTCAAATAATCTTAAAAATTATCATGATATGCATCTTTGCAAAATTCGCGTTATATCAGAGTCAAAATTATCCTGGTTAAAATCTGATAAACCCTTACGTATTAAAATAACTGGAACACATTCAGTTTGCCACCAAACACAGGTCAAAAAGTGAAAAATCAAGCATCAATTAGTCACCAATCGGTCACCAATCAGGCAGTTTGCTAACTTTTGATCCAGTGATCAGAAAAAAATAAAATATAGCTCATTGGAATCGTCTCACAATAACGAATCTAATGGTAGTAAAATTGCATTTCTAGGATTAATACTTGATGAGAAATTAAGTAAAATATAAAAATAAAAATGTATCATTTATATTTTATTTAATATTTTATTAACTATTAATCCTAAAAATGTGATTTTACTACCATTAGATTCATCTTGTTGAGATGAGCTATATTTCATTTTTTTCTGATCACTGGATCAAAAGTTAGCAAACTGCCTGATTGGTGACGGTGTAAACGGTCGAATATCAAGCACGAAAAGATGATAAAATTCAACCACCAAATGTAATTATTAAATATTAAGAACGAACAAATTAATTATGGATTGGCGTAGATGGATAAATAATTAGCCGAAAAGGATAAACATTTAGGAAGAGTAATAGGAATCCCATAATTCTGTCTCTTATACACATCTAGATGTGTATAAGAGACAGGTAATGATCTACATGATGTAATATTTATTGAATGATTGACAAGGAACCAATAGGATAAATAGAGTCGATCAATTGCGGCTTAGCAATCTTTAACAATAAGAACGATAAGAAAGAATAATTATAAGCCACAAAAGATAGATTATAAGCAAAACACATAAAGCGAATTAAAAGAACATATAAAATAATGTCAGAAAGATTAAAGAACACAAAATAATGTAAAAGATAATATAAAAAGATAGTATAAAGATGGAACGTAAAAGATAATATATTAAAAAGAACATATATAAAAAGATAGCATATTAAAAGATAGCGTATTTAAAATATAGATAGTATATTAGAAAGATAGTTCAAAGATAATATGTAAAAGAACATAAAAGAAGTATATTAGAAAGATAGTTCAACGATAATATGTAAAGAACATAAAAGATAGTATATAGATAGAATAGAAAGTAGCATAAAAATTGTATATATAGAGAGCGGAATTCAAGGTAATTCCTTAGTTCCCATCCACAGAACTCAATAAAAATATAAGTTAAATTTAATTATTTGTTAATGAAGTATAATATTAATTAAAGGTAATAGGTTCGCCCTAAACTTTAATTAATGTTCGCTTAATTAATTTTAATTGAATAAAATGGAAATTTAAGATGAATTAAATATACATTTTTGAAAAGTAATAATTCGTAGTGAGAGCTATTGAAGTTTGTAATTAAAGGTAAAAGTGGATATAATTTGGGGAAAATTTAGAGAAGTAAAATTTATTTTATATCGTTTAATGTTTTATATTACTAACGCTATTTATGTCGTGAACCAAGAATGTTGTTGTACGTTGTTCGTTGATTATGTTGTTTGTTAATTATGACGTTGATTATTTGCTTGTTCGTTTAATTGTTCGTTCGTTCGATTATTTGTTCGTTCGACCATGGGAATGCCCGTTCGATGTGGCAACTCTGTAAATTGATGACAGAGGGAATTGGGGGATCTCAACGGTATTTGGCGAAAATGCCAATCAGTCACCAATCGGTCACCAATCAGCTACCTGATTGGTGACTGATTGGTGACTGATTGATGCCTGATTTTTCACTTTTCGACCTGTGAAATGTACTAAATTCTTATACTCCAAGTATTTCTAAAATCAATCTTACAAGAGAGATACAGGATAAAATTATTTTAAGTAGAAGATCTGATTGCAAAACAACTAAAGAAATTAAAATGAAATTACTTGCACCTTATAATTGTGAAAATGAAGAAATATTAAAAGAAACTTTAAATGAACAACGCGAAGTTTGTAATAATATTAAACTAGGGAGTTTTATTAAAAGAGATGATAGACGATTAAAAGAAAATTCTGGTTCATGGACTATTCTTCACTACTTAGTAACAGAAATTCTCAAAGTAAAAGGCTATGTGTTTTATTACCAGCAGCTGAATCCATTAGCACCAGAAGATCATCCAGATCACTATTATCAATTAACTTTATCAAATGATTTATGGTTAAAAAATGGTAAAAAATTTGGGAATTTCTGTATTGGTCTAGATGGCAAATATGATCTTAATAATGATCATGCTCTGGTTTTGACAATGGTAATTGAAAATAATGCAGGATATGCTACACCATTAGCTTTTGGTTAGTATGAAATACAATTTTATTTAAAGTTGTTATAATTAATATTAATTAATTAATTTATTTATTTATATACAGGTCTAATAAAGAAAACAACTGGATCATTTGATTAGCTATTCAAACAATTAAACAAAACATTCCTTGTGATCATAAAGGATGTAATCATGAATGGTATTACCAAGATTTACCATCTGAAAATGGATTTGAAAGAATAAGTAAATATGCAAATACACAATTATGGAATCCATTCGTAATGATTAATAAACATCGACCGTCAAAAATTGCTATACAAAATTTACTACGTGGTTCAATACTCTGTTGGTTTCATATAATGAAAACAATAGGAAAAAATTTTACACACTGGAATATATCTTGGTCAATCCGGTAAATTTTAATTTTTCAAGTAAATCAACAAATAATATATTTAATAATTAATTAAATTTTTTTTAACAAATTTAGTTATCCATAAAGATATTAGCCGTAATTGATTGGCCGATGCCGTAATATTACAGCATACAGCATTACAGTTATGACACTTTTTGTAATACTATAATTAGACCGTAATGCTGTAATTGGGTCGTAATGCTGTAATTAGGTCGCAATGCTATAATAGGACCCCGAAATATACATAAAAGGGTCAGGTCAAAGTTTGCGTATAATGAGTCAAAAAAATCATGTAGATCATTCCTTCTATGGATAATCTCAGCCAAAATAATATTTCCTAATTTAGATAATGGCTGAAATTATCGTAATTCTGGCCCTGAAAGAATGCGTATTTTGGACCACTTCTGAACCTGACCTCTACATATATATTTCGGGGTCCTGCTATAACTGTCTCTTATACACATCTAGATGTGTATAAGAGACAGACTCTCCTGAACCTCACATCTTACTCTTTAAACGTGAAAAGGATTATCAATTAAAATATCCCGTTCCAAATCAAAATCAAAATCCAAATGAAAATCCAAATGAAAATCCGCAATAAATCACGACTCTTGAATAGTTAGATAAATATAGGGTTCGTATTTTATAATGTGAGATGGGAAATGAGATTAAAAAATTTTCGTTTTTTTATAATTTTAGTTGATTTTCTTTATAAATAAAGAATGTGAAATATTTTAAATTTTGCGTTAGTCAAATAATCAAATCAAAATAATCTTAATTAACAATACGTAAACCTTATTGATACATTTTCAAAATTTTCAAAGGAATTATTTGCAAGATATAGTTCTTAGATGTTAGACAATCCGGTAAACAGTGCGTGATTCAAAAAATTTAACAAGGGTTAATCAAAAAGAGAATTGTATTTATCTACAATTTATATGGATTTTTACGTGCAATATGAGTTCAATTTCATGCTATAAATGACATACAATGCATTAAGCTCGTGGACAGTATACGTATAACAAATAAAAAGAATATCATAATTTAGTTATATCACCTTGTGCCAATTTACTATTAAATATTAATTATGCGCATTTTAACTATTTTAACTGGAATAAAGTACAAAAATGAGAATCAAATAATCTACGTTGTTTATTACCAATTTAGTCCAATATTCCGTAGTGCGACAATTAGATCGTTAAGTCAAACTATTATAATATTTAAGAGCCA